ATTAATATGGTTTGCACTCAGAAAAAGTACAACTAGAAGTAGGAAAATTTGGGGAGATTGTTTCAAAAAAGCTTAAGTTTAAAAAAAAAACGCTCGGTGGGTCAAGTATTAGAAACGACATAATGAGAAACTTTCAAACAGGGGCGCTGAGAGCTTTTGCCCTGCCTGGGACAGCAACCCTGACTGGCGTCCTTATTTTTATACGATTTTTCTATATTATTAGTCAAGGACCTTAGTTTTGGTACCTCTTTTGTTTTACACCCCTGCTGATCTGAATGCTGATTAAATTTTAAGCGTATATAGTGCTGAAGCTTCGGCTTCGGCAAAGTGGCTTCGGCCGAAGCTTCGGCTTCGGCAAAATTTTAGCTTCGGTACATTCCTAGTAAAAACGTCAAAATTAATGTTCTTTCCCATATATTATTAAAAAACTTATGTTTTTAAACTAAATTTTGGAAAAAACAAAACTTTATCATGGTATTGTTAACTTACGTTACACGAAAATTGCATAAGTTCTTTCGTTATTTTCTTGAAATATATATATATATATTTTATATAAAGTATAAAACCTGACCAACAACATTTTGAACATTTAAGCTATATTTTCACGCTAAATAAATTCCGATTATGCAAATATGGTTAAACTAACATTTTACAATGATACTTTTTTTATCATGCGACAATTCAGTGTAGTTGAGGCAATTTTAAAACATTATATTGTTTGTATGATATTTTGCTGACTTCGATATATTTCCGTTAAATGATCAGGTCTGTGAATTATAAAAAGACGAAAAAAATTAAAATAATAAATTTTGCGGTATCATAAAATATAAATGTTTATAGCGAAAAAACCCAGACCGAAGAATCTTTTTTTAAAAAAAAAATCTTTCTAAAATCCCAATCGTTTTGTCCAAATTTGAATAAGACTTTAAATAATTACGTTTTCTAGATAATATGAACATCATAGTTTAATGTAGTAAAATTCTTAATTAAAAGCTCTTTGTTGGTCGGATTTATAGTATATTAGGTAAAAATTGATAGAAATATTGTATTTTGATAACTATATATAGTTAAGAACCATCATATATCGTATATGTAGAATGGACGAAACTGATCTTAAAGTTTGCGAATTGCGAGAACAGCCTTAAAAAAAAAAAAACGCAGGTTTTGATAAAATTAGCGTCAATGTTGTAAAATCTGTATTTGATGTGATTGAGCCATCGCTATATCATATCTTTAAACTTTCAGTAAAATCGGGGGTTGTACCTGATAATTTAAAAGTTGCTCATATTACACCTATTTTTAAAAGGAGGAGATAACTCCCTTATTTCAAACTATAAACCAATTTCTTGCCTTGTTTCTCTAAAATACTTGAGCGTATAATATACAATAGACTCTACGACTATTTAACAAAGAACGACACGCGATATAAAAACAGTCCGGTCTCAAAAAAATGGATTCAACTGAACACGCCGTAGTCGAGCTAGTCAATGAGATATCTGACGCTCTAAACAACGATTATTTTACAGAAAAAGTTTTCATTGATCTGACAAAACTAAATTTACACTATTTCATAAATCAAATAGAATTGATAAAATCCCATTAAAATTAGCAAATCTTATTATAAACAAAACTATTATTAAAAATCAATTTTCAGTAAACTTTTTTTCAGTAAACTTTTTTATTAAATTTTTCAGTAAACTTTTTTATTAAATTTTTCAGTAAACTTTTTTGGCGTGGAGTTGGATGAAAATTTACGATGAAATTTTTATAAAAACAGTCTAGAAAAAAAAAGTTTCAAAAACAATTGGTATGTTATATAGAGCTTCATAATGGTTTATATATGTTATATAAACCATTTCTTAAACTTAAATCACTAAAAGGTTTATACTTTTATTCATAGTTACTTAACATACTGTAACATCGCTTGGGCAAATACCAATCATACAAAACTAAAAAAACTTTACAGTAAACAAAAACATGCATGTCGAATTGTATTTGATGCTTATAAAGAAGAACCTTTTCTCGATCCTCTCCTGTGTTTACTTGGAGCATTAAACATACATAAAATCAATTTACATCAAATTTTAGTCTTTATGTATAGAACTAAGCTAGGATTGTTTCCAAAATTATTTGAATCCTATTTTAGTAAAATCTGTCATAAATACACTACAAGATTCTCGAAAAATAACTTCGTTGTTCCAAAATATAGTTTCAAATTGAGCACTTACTCAATAAAGTATCGTGGACCATATCTATTATAAATAATATATATTATTTTCAATCGATACTTTACTAAGTAAGATAAACCAATCAGTTTTTACATCATTTATGGTTCACTATAATAATAATAATAATAATAATTTTTTAGCTAATAAAAAGATAACATTTCTAGATCTATTTATAAAGGCTTCTAAACAGTACTTCATACTTTTAATGTATTTTTGAATGTTTCTATGGAAGTTGAGTTTCGCGTGTTCAAAGATAAACCATTCCAAATTCGAGGTGCAGCCATACAAAAAGATTTTGAGCCTAAGGAGGTTTTTTTTTGACGACGTGTAAGTTGGCAACTGTCTAATGATCTTGTATTTTGTTTTGAAGTTCGGACTTCTAGGAGTTCAAATAAATATGCAGGAGATTTTGATAATAAAATTTTATATGTGATAACTGATATTTTATAGATTATTCTTTGATGTATTGGTAACCAATGAAGAGATTTCAGCAATATTTCTGATTTTAAATGGAAAGGAGAATGGAAAACAATACGAGATAAGTTATTTTGAATTCGTTGGAGTTTTTTAATATTTTTTTGATAAGTGCCAGATAAAATGCTGTTACAATAGTCAAGCTGAGAGTTAACGTTATATATATATATATATATATATATATATATATATATATATATATATATATTAGCAACTTATTATATTACTTTATGTATTAATGCTTACATAAAACAATATATTATCATTTAGTTCATATATTGACGTCAATTTTATGGTTTTGAGGCCGGTTGGTAGTCAAGTTTCCCAAACTATATAGTAGCTCTCAGAGATGCAGATTCCATCAAATTCTGTAAAGTATCTGAGTACTAACAGTACCAAGTTGCGCACGGATGGCGTCTCTATTCGGACTATTAATATGCATTGCCATGGCCACATTTGGAGTCCTTTGTTACTTTTGTGCTTAAGGTTTATTTATAATAATATAGTAAGCTCTGTGATAAGACTGTAAGAGTAGTATATGTGCTTTTAGTCAAGTTCTTTAA